GACGAACTCGTGTCGCTGAAGATCACTCGCTGAAGACAAACTCGTGTCGTTACAAATCAATCTCCACAGCTCGAGCATCAGACTGCGGCACTCTTCGGCTCGAGTGTTTGTCACTTCGCACAGCTTTGCTGATGCTACACTGCAAGACATGCTCAAATCAAGCAGATGCTTGCTGTCCCAAGCCATGCCAGGCAGTTGCCTGGTTAGAATGAATCTATGCTTCCAAAGGTGGAACTCAAGGCTCATCAATACAAAAAACAAATCTCACCCGAATATCCGATGGGCTGTCGCCGAGTGCAGCAGGCAAAGCACGAAGCGCCTGTAGGATTGGCTGAGTTTTCAGTCCGGCCTTGGAAAGCGGCGCACTTTAGAAAGCACATCGTGGCGGATGCCAGTGCACGCCTGTGTCGGCTTGAACACCAACCGCGGTTGCATCTGGCAGCCTGAAGATCTGAATTCAGATCAGTGCGTCAGTGCGTGTGGCATGATCTCACACGCTGGCCTCTGCGTGCTGAGGATCCAGTGCTCAAAGGTCATTTTCTGACCCTTGACCAGGAGCCAATGCAAACACACGTCAATGTCAACCACAAGACAAGCACATCGGTCACTAAGCACGCAAGGGGTTGACATTGGACTTGACGTTGGCCACGGCCAACATTTTTACATTTCATTGCCATCCAGGTCCTAGTGGTGAGCAACCTTTCCACACCCCACAATCAATATTGGCTGTTTTGGATTCGCTCTCAAACGAAGCAACACGAAGGATCGGCCTGGGACATCTGCTGAAAGATAATTGCCTGACTCCAAGGGGCATGCTCAAGCTCTACGCAAGTCTACTCATGCGCTGGCTTCAACTCTTCGGCAATATCACGGTAACCTACTGTATTCTGTAGGTCTTTCTTTCTGTCTGTCTCTCCCCCTAATCCTCTGGAGTACTTTGCCATCTCACTTGTGCACGTGCAAGGATCTTGCATTTGGCAAGGATGAGCACAGAAATGGTCTAACAAGTCCTGGTCAGCTTATGCCGACTAGACCAAAAGGAGTTTCATGAGGCCTCGCGGCTGGGGCGACTAAGCCGCTTGAGCTCACGATGGAGAAGCTGCCTCGAGTTCCGCTTGAACTTTGGAACTTGCTTTCATTCGTGCAACATCTGCAACCGTACTGGTATATCGTCAGCCAAGCAGGCAGCGTGGCTGGCACAAATGGCTAGACATCACATGATGGCTGCTGGCTCGTACAGTGAAACTGCCAGTGACCAGTTGCTATAAGTGGGCATGACTGAGATGGCAGCAGCAGCCGATGCCTCTTGCGAGTCTTGCTCCTGATCGCTAGATTGACATTTGGCTCCAGTTCCCGCTCAAGTTGTTCACATCGAATTGCCAACTGCAACACCTGTCGCGCACAGGGAGCGCCAGCCTTGACACCATGTTCTTGCTCAATTGCATTTAGGGAGGCACCTGAGCAGTTGAGTTCTCGAGGTTGCATTGTGTGATCTATTCCCTTGTTTCATCGTTCTCTCTTTGCATGTCCATCAGCATTCATCTCAGCCACCCCTCAAGGCTGCAGCTCACACTGTTGTCACCCCCTCAGCACCGGCATCTGGTTGGGAAGCCAATACCAATACTGCAAGACGAACCAAATGAGGCCAAGAAACTGTTGTTGTTGTTGTTGTTGTCGTTGTTGTACATGTTGTCGACGTTGTGGGCTGGAGGCTTGGCATGGTGGCGGCAATGATGGCCTGCATGTCAACCTCAGGGAGCTGCACATGGGATAGTGTGACATTTTAACTGGTGCGTGGTTCAAAGCACGATTGCTCTGAGCGCCGAGAAGCGGCGGCAATAACGTTCACGGACATCTTGATTGCACACCTGGGAGTCATGAGTAGTGACTTGTCATATATGGCGGTAACAGTTTGAAGATGCGTTCCTTGCAGACCACCTGCTATGTGGCCCCAGTCTGAGTTTTGACAGGGCTTACCCCGATTCAGAAATGCCCAGTGAAATGCTCAGTTAAATGCTTTTGAGGGGGACAGTTTCCGCGCCCCTGCGCTGAGAATATGTGACACGTTTAAGTAGCAGCATCGAGGTGCGTTCAGGCTACAGTTGAGCAGCTCACGTAGCTCTACTATATCTTCTTTATAAGCTTCATACTGGCTCCCATAAATCATGGATCGTTGACGCTCCACTACAATTATTCGAAGCCCAGTTGTCAAAACTGTTTTGTCATGCAGCACAAGCGTGTGACACTTGAAGAAACTAAGCTGGCAGCATGGCAGCGTTTGCAGATAAGGCCTGCAAGGCAAATATCTCACAGGCCCAAGCACGAAAGGCTACCACTTTGGGATCAAGCTCTAAAGTCCAGAGAAAAGCGATTGCTTGAGATGTGTGCATGTCAAAGCAAACAATGCCTGCCGCAATCTGGGGACTCCGGCCACGAAGACGTGGCAAGTTAGCAGCTGTGCACAGCCTGTCTTCAGGACTAATTTTGTGCACCATGCGTCTATTCACATATTTGTGTGCACTTTCTTTGCAAGTGGTACAGTACTGAGCCCTCGACGAAGTCGATCTGTTTAGCAATTCCAGACAGTCAGCATTTGAGCCAGTAAGCCATGGACACGCCATCGCTTCTCACTTCATACTTTATTGAGGTTACACTGGCACTCTCAAGTAGCTCACAAAAGCTTGTGCCTGAGAAGGGTATTCTACAAACGGTCTGCTCAGACATGTTTTTAAACAAGGCCGAGCTGATCGCGCATCTTGCTCCAAACCCAGCTTCCAGTGAGGATTATCTAGCCAACTCCCACTTTACTGTTCAACGGTGCTTGCTCTCTATGAATGTGTCTACCCTCCAAAGCAGCTGCCTCAAGTGATAGGTGTGCCATTAGGGTGTCAGTAGTTTTCTCCTGATGATTGTGCGAACGAAACGCCAGAAAACAGAGAGGAGGGTGGGGGGCTCCAGTCGCCCTGAGTAGTGCCCCTGTGACCTTTTTGGGGCTGGAGCCAACTCGTCCCCTGAGTCGAGCTAGCAGCCGCGTGCTGTGTTGAATGTGCTGGCTTCATGTCGGCGGCTTCTGGAGAGTCTATTGGTATGATATTGGCATTAAGCAATTTGCAGTTATGCGCCAGCGCTACGTGTTCGCGATCCTCCAAAACCTTTTTTTGTGTCGCGGTCAATCCCCCCCCCCGGACCCCACGTCGCGCAGCCGGCCCAGGGTCGGGGAGCCGTCAGATCCCTTCAAGAAAGGGATCCCCCTCAAAAACTGGCAAATGCCCCTCAAAGCCGATCCAACTCCAGCCAAACCCCTCTAGAAGCCGGTCAAACCCCCTTAAAACCGGTCATCTAGAAAGTGATCAAATCCCCTCTTAAACCGCAGAAACCAGTCAAGAAACCGACTAAATCACCCCTAGAAACCGGTCAACTTGGTTAAATCACCTTCAAATTCCCCTCCAGAAACCTATCCAATCCCGCCCAAAAAAACTGTAGAAGCCGATCAAATTCCTTCCAGAAACCGGCAAAATTTCCCCCCCCCCCCCCGCAGAAACCAATCAAATTCGCTTGGCCCAAGCTCACTGCCATTCTGTAGCTCTCTGCAGCTCTCGTTCTGGCCCTTGACGCCATGTGGAAACACGAAAACATGTACCCACCCTCTACCTTGGAAACCAGCTCACGCAAACACAAGACTTCAAGCACGGTGTATACCTCAAAGCCAGCCAAAAGCGGACTGGCCGAGGCTGGCAACACGAAGCGTTTACAATATGTTTTTGCAGTTTACAGCAACCTGACGAGACATCCCTCGCAGTTCTTGTTATTGTTTTTCCAGATGGAATTGGAATTTAATATCCACCCGGGAAGTTTGATCCCTACCCTCACTTTGGGACTCTGCCCAGTGGAACCGCATGTTTACGGAAGCTCAACAATGCAAAGTTTGATTTTGTTCGCGCACTGTAGGCTTGAATGTCGAATGCACTACACGGCCTAGGAACAAGCTATCCAGCTCTGGTCGCGCAGCCATCCGTGCAAACTGTGCGCAGCTTGCTTTTGCTTGTTTTTTCTCTGCGCTGACAGGAACATTTGGTCATCCTCTCAGGATGACGCTCAGACCTGGCTGAAGGGCCGCCAGATACAGCCACAAAGGAAATCTACACAGCCCAAGATTGCACTCATTCACACACACACACACAGTTGCTTGCCTTCGCCGCCACCCGTACCGCCAGTGTGATATCACACCTGCATTGATGCGCAGGAGGTCTGGTTGCAAACCCCAGTTCAGGGTGGCCCTTCAATGCCATTGTGCTCCATTGCACAAGATGAGAGACATCCGGACAAGGCCTCATCAGAAAGCTGCCCAGCTGAAGTCCACTCCCCCAGTTTGTGGAGAACCTAAGTCAAAGCACAGCTGCCACGTCCAGGCCAGGATTATATACAGTCCAAGCAGGTCTTCATACATCTTTAGATAATAGAAAACTTAGCAGTCCTAGACTGCGTTGCGGGCGCTACAATTCACCCTTCGCGCGTTGACGTCTCAGGCTCCCACCAGGCCGGCATTGTCAGAGGTCTCACTGCCTGCAAGAAACAGTTTGCAAAGTCGAGCATCCGCATCCCGACACGCACCCCTGCCCACGCCCTCACGCGACAAACGCCATCTCCACACCACGCACGCCCGTGCGCGAGTGCACGCCCACGCCCACGCACGCCCGCCCGCCCGCCGCACGCAAGCGCGCCCGCCCGCTCGGCACAGCACAGCACAGGACGGAGCGGCACGGCACGGCACGGCACGGCTTTGGATGGGTGTGTACCACGTCCCCAAGCCGGATTTCGATCCTTGAACACATGCAGAGGGGCGTTCCTTTGTTTACCTATCGCAGACATCAAATCGACAATACATGTTTCGGCAACCAATGGCTTTGTTCTTCCTCAAGATCCCAGCACTCCGCGCCAACGTCATCCGAACGTCGATAAGGATCGCCCGCCGTTGTTTTGGCCCCATGCTTCGTCTCCCCGGAGGAACGCGTCAAATACCGCGAGAGAAAAGTATGGGCGGATGAACAACTGGGTGAGTAGCAACGGCTGCTGCGTCAAAGGCTGCGCCAGGTTGTTGACTTCGCCGGCGAGGCAGCCCGCCCACCCGCTCGCCCACCCGCCCGAATACCTGGCCTGTTACAATTGCACAGTACGTCCGGGCTTTCTGTGGCTTGAATGCCTGAGCAACTTGTATCGTGTGCGCCACCAGTCGCAGGGAGGCTGTCTTTCAAATGGCCATGCAAAACTCATTGCTACAGAACTGTTGAGAAAGGCATGCCGAGCGCTGCGCCAGCTTCACACGCTTGGCCCCATCCGTCAGAGTGAGAGCCATATCCTCAACCCGCTCGAGTCGGTACCTTCAAACAGCGCTTCACCAACAAGCATTCTGTTTGCTACTTTTGTGATGGCACGACTTGTCCAATGGCAGCACCTTTGCCGTCAGCCCACGCTGAACTGACAGCTTGGCACGCCTGTCAGCAATCCACCTGTGACAGTTTGCCCATGGCATTCTACCCTAGCCAACCTTGGACCGGCATGGGCGTCAACCAAATGCAAATAGTACGCCTGACCTGCCACACAATTTGGATGTTATGACCAAGCTGCCAAGCGGGAATCACATTGCCATATTGATACTGGCTCAAGCCCGATTCCACGAACATCAAGCAAGCAACCACACAATAAATGATGGCTCCAGAGTTGTTCAAGTCTCAGTCCCCGCTGCCCTTCCATTCCCAAACCAAGCATGTTGGCACCATCGTCCAACTCCACCACATTCTTGTGTACTCTAGCCTCATGTCAAGTCATGTCAAGTCCCAGTTGCAGTATCAATTTCAAGACTAGTCTGCTTGATGCAGTTTTCTAGAGCAGCTCTGGTTCCCAGTCTCGGTTCTCAATACTGCTGCGTGTGTACTAGCAGTGTCTGGCAACAAAAACTTGCTTCACTCAACACAAACCAGCCTTGTGGTGATCATCTTGAAAAGGTGCAACCTTGCAACACACACACACACCCAACAAACACATGCACCAGTGGACCATGAACGGTCCGAAATTCGAGCTGAAGCTGGCGTACTGTAAGCTCTGCTCCACGGCCTTTTCCAAGGGCCGGCAAGTCAAAGGCCGCCCTTGCGACCTTAGAGCATGGCCAACTCTTCGGAACGTGTTTCAAAGCATGTGTGATTACAATTGCAACTTCCGTCAATTTAATGGAGGGCTCAGTTCAATTGCACAGTCTTGGTTCATGTTGCAAGGAGACTACGCAAACTAGTGATGCAGCATTGAAGACCCACCTCCTTTGAACCCATCATGAACAGCACGTTTCCTTTTTCGAAGGCCAGCTCCTGATCGCGACTGATGGACACCATTCTGCATCCAACTGGCCAGTATCTCCTTCAAGTCCTCACATGCTTGGAAGTCCAAGGTACCGATAGCCTCAGACACAAGAAGTCCAGACTCAGAACGTGCACTGTTCTTCGTGTGCTGTACATTGACGAACATGAACATGAACCCTGCAATGATCCCATCGCCTTGCTGTGACTTGCATCTTCGCTTTGCACAACAACCTGCGGTATGGCCAGCCCTATGCATTGCTCTGGTCACCTCTGAGGGGCAAAACATAAGACACAAGTAGCATGCGGTTTCAATGCGCTCTGGCCTGAACACACGCATGCATTTGCATGATGTGAAGCCTCTAGTTGCTTGAAGGTCCGTCTCTTTGCTTGTCGCATTTCCTAAAACCACAGAGTCGTTGCCTTGGCCTTCAAAAAAAAGTTTGAGCGGGACCACAGGTGACTGAGCCCAGTGATCACGCTGCGCGTTCTAAAATGATATCACACTGACAGCGCAACGTACGAGCGCATACGAGTGCCCTGCCTTGAGCTTCTTATGCCGCCCAAATACGTTGCACACAGAGATGCGTGGGGGCGGCGCCTTCCATCGCCAAAGTCAAACGTGTGCCTGAGATCTCCCCTCACATCCCCTCATTCTCAGGGGCTGAGTGGAATTGCACTGCCTCAAACTGTTTGGGGCAGAAGCAGCAATTCCCACTACAACAGTCTACTACCGAGCGAGGAAGGGCATCTAGGTGTGTTTGTGGCCCGCATGGCCACTGATTGCCCAATGTATCCACGGCTTTTTCGAGGAAAGAATCCTGCTCTGATCAGCAACATGTGCCATCAATACACAACAAGCGTTGCTTGTCAAGCGTCATTGAATCGGAGGAGCAGGCTTTACTTTCCTGGGTCTTCATTTGTACGCATCCGCTACTTCATCAGGTCATTGGAACGGGGCCTTTCACGACCTCACCCCAACAAGCGTTTGGATGCTTCAGGCATTCACCAGCAACTGAAACACCATGATTCGACAATCTGCTGGATCGAGCAAAGGGAACCAACACTGCCTGGCACTGAGCCATTGCTGCAAGGCAAGCGCGCGGGTCACTGTTCGCAGAAACATGCTTGCTGTGCTTCGGGGCCGCCCCCATGCGATCCTGGTCTGTCTCCTCCAGCTTTGCAGCCTGGCAATTCCATTGACGTTATCTTAAACCAAATACGGCCAAACGTCACCCCTTGCAAGGACGCAATACTGGGAGCGTCACGCCCCGCAAAGTGCGTGCACAGTCTGGAATCCGATTGACAGCCAGTGCTTCTTTGAAGGCAGCCAGCCAGGCTTGGCCAAAAAACCCTGTAAATTCAGCATCTCCTACTGCCAGCCAAATGTGCATGTTCAAAGTGCGAAAAACAAATGCCGAGCTGAGGGTTGCAGCTCCGGATCGGAGAAACAGCTGGCCTGCTACTCTTTGTTTGAAAGGTTTTACAAACTGCTGGCCTTCAAGGCCAATCCCTATTACAAAACTGCGTTGCAGGGCGCTGTTGGGCGGTGAGCGACACGCAACTCGCGACACGCAAGTCTGACCGAATTTGGCTCGATCCCGCCTCCACCTTTCGCACAGCGCCATCAGGTAGCTTGACCGTGTAGCGCCCGCTGTCAAAGCCCGCAATTTGAACAACCTGGTGGCGCGGGAGTTCGTTTCAACCTCTGCAGACTCTGCCACTCCGTGCCTTGCCATTCATGGCCGTATTTTGGAGGCCGACCAGCTTGGCATGTGATCCGGGGTGAAGCACCCTGTCAAGCAGCTGAAGCGGCCGTCCCTCATTGCAGCGAAAGAAATGCCCAGGCCTATGGGTGGTGTCAGGGATTTCCTGTCCGACCACAGCAGGAATCGGGGGTGACGGCGATGGCAGCTATATACACCGATTACATAATATATACATATATATATATATATGTATATATAATATTTCAACACATCTGGTCACCCTCCTCTCCCCGGGCCTACCTTTCACAATTCTTGTTGGACAGGGTCATGTCTACTCTGCATGTCTCTTTCTTCCACATGTCTGGAAACACTGTCAAAGTCGGCGTGGTTGTTGGTGGTTTGCCTAATTTTATGGTAGCCTATGTTTCGATGTTTGAGGATTGAAAGGCAATACGTCGATCATGGGAGCCGTTTTCGGATTCAAGCAAGGCGTTTGTTTCAAAAAACAGTGTTGTTATCAATGGGTTTGGAAACATATAGCAAAACACGTTGGACAAATGATGGAGCTCTGAAACCTGACAGGCCAAACACGAACAGAACATGCTGAAGACGAAAGCTCTGAAACCTGCATAGGCCCAAAAGAAACCAAAAAACAGAAACTCCTGACAAAATCCCGGGAGTCTGGGGATGGCGCAAAGTTGATGGCTTTTGTGGGGCCTGCGCATGCTTTGGAGCTTTCAACTTTAAGTTGTTCCGTTCTGTTTTGCCTGTACAGGTTTTAGAGCTTTAAACTCTCATGTGTGTTTTCTGGTTTTGTTGGCCTGTGCAGATTTCAGAGCCTCAACACGGCTTTATTTCATGATACTAATTTTCATGCCCGTGTTTTCATGAGATGTAAATGATAGCAACGATTACACGTGAAAAAAATGAAATGAAATCAAATGATGCGCTGCAAAAGTAACTCCTAAAGCTTTGCAAATAGGTGACAGAACTAAAAGTATAAGATGTTGAGCCAAGAGACGATAGGAGGTGAAGAAACAGATACAGACATATTCGGAAATTCCTAGATCTACTTCACACGGCATGTCTATGCATGTCCTTTTATATCACCGCTGCATTCATTTAGGAGTGCAGCACCGTAAAAGGACATGAAAGGCAAACAAAATCCCAAAGGAATGATAAAGAACAGATCATGAGAGCAAAGAGAGGGAAGAAATAATGACAAAAACAAAGTAACCTGCAAGTGTGTAGTAAAAAAATCGTAAATATCAACTAGAGCTTCTCATTTCCATTTTATTATTCATTCACTAGTTAAAATGAAGTAAGCACAAAGGCTTAGGAATCTATTCTGATTGTCTGCATTCATCATTGGAATCTCCGGGACATGAACATCCATCCGTAGAATAGGGCCAGGGCTATTGTCACAACATTCAATACACAAGTAGTGCACAAGTTACGCTTCTTCCGAAGTCCCGGCTCAAAAGTCGCAAGATTGCAGTGCCACGCAGTATGCGCGAAGCAGACCCTGCTCGAGAGTTGCAAGTTTTTAGCGCCAAAACACAACAAGAAGTACATTTCTGCATTCTGCGCGCGCTGCCGGCAAATACAAGTGGTGCATCAGTCCATCTTCCCTTCACCAAGCCACGCCTACAAAAAACGCTTGCGACCTCCGTCGCGAAGCTTTTGCGGAGGACAACACTAAGATCAAAAGGCCTTCCCCTTCATATCTCAATACAAGGACCTTTCGGACGACTCTCGCATGCAACAGCCTGGATCACATCCTCTACTTCGCTCTTCACCTCCATGCAAACTGGCACGGCCAATCAGCGAGATTCAAATGAAAGCACAGGTAGAGGCGTACTGTTTGTCATATCCTTCTTTGCTCCGAAGCACTACTGCCAATTTTCCCTTCACAACCAGAACTGAAGGCATAGTTCAATCATTGTCCCTTGATCCTGACCGTGACCTCAGCACCCGAATTCTGGAAGGACTGGTCAGAGGCAAAGCCGTCTCTCTCTGTACCTACGTCAGGCACTGGTCGGGTGCTAGCAACAACAAGAGCCCTGCTGAGCCCTGCAGAACCCTGCAGAGAATTCGCATACGATCGGCTTCAGTGAGCGCCTTGCCTTGGACGCTGAGATGCTCAGCTTTGACTGCCCAATAGGTACCTTAGACGAATGACGGCAGCTTGTTGATGGCCGCTGGAAAGCTTGCCCGGTTTTTTCTCCTCTAGGCTGCTAGTACGTGCACTTTCGGCACGTTCCTACTTTGTTCTCTGCCGCGCAAAGGGCAAAGACCTCATCCTTACGCGATTCTGATCATGTGCATTTGCCTGCCAATGGCACTTGTCTTCACAGCAAGACCATACGGCATTCACAGCTTCCATTTAATGGAGATGCGAGGTATTGTACAGAAAAGCTACACTCATGAACCAGCTTCATGTTGTCTCATCAGAAACTCCAACCTCGACTTGGAACATCCGCCAGTTCACGTGTCCAGTGTACTGACATGCCATTGCCAAGGAGCTCTTTGATTCGGGCATCCTTCTTTGCAATCTCAACTTCTAATGTTGATATGTCTGATCCATACCTGACTCAGCTGCCACACGCAAACGCGGTTGAGCTTGTGCAAACGTGAGGCCAAACAATCTCACTTCGTCCCTAACCACTAAGTCTGCCCTGCCTCTTTGAGCTGTCAGTCAGCTGCTGCTGCAGCATCTGAAGCCTTGGCAAGCAGCGCACTGCAGAATGTGCGGGGCTGTGGGAGAAACGAGAACAATGACAATGTTCTGTGAGAAACGTTAGACGTGCTATTGCTGTTTCTTCTTTATTTTATTTCATTTGTCGCTTCACAGTGCTTAGCAAAGTACATCCAACGCGCGATTTGGCGGCTCCAGCTCGAAACTCGCAACTTTCAATACAAGCGTAGCACTCAAAGTTCACCCTGGCAATTCCAGCAAAAACAACTGGTTAGTACAGTGCAGAAAGCGAAATACACTTTAGCAGCTCAAGTTCTAACAGCCCAACAGTGAAGTGTAGTATTTAAAGTACACCTAGCGTGAGTGCAAGTGCAGTACTCAAGGTACACGTCAACTGTTCAGTGCACGTGCAATGTAGTACGCGAAGCTAACTTTCAGAACCTATCATTATCGTGTGTGTTGTCGTGTTGCTATAATGCTGTTGTCTAAATCGTCGCCCGCTATTGCTGAGCCAGTTGACTTGGGGAAGTTGCTGCTTGGCTGAGCCAGTTTCACACTGGTTGAAGTACTGGTCGAAAGCCTTTTCTCACATACAAAGCCGCTGCTAGCACACACCGCTTTCATTTTGTTTTCTCCTGATCGTGCTGCCTGAAATCCGGTCTATCCAACTACTCTCCTTGCATGCAGACTTCACCTGGTAGGATCAAGCCGAGGAGCTCTTGACTCGGGCAGCTTTATGTCCTGTTTCCCTTCATAACTTCGTATTTGCCACTTCACAATGAGCGGGTGATATCAGATATACCAATTTGCAGAGAAGTTGAATAGATGCGGCCATGCTAGATGCATCCAGCAAGCACAATGACCTATCGCTACTTACTGTTTCGCTAGTCTTGTCTAGCTGAAGCTAGCAGGGCAGCATCGACAGAGCTTCTATGAAAAAGGGAACAGCCCTTGTTGGCCGCAGGGATTTCCCAGCAGCCAACTCCATTCAACTTCACCACGGAACCCGAGCGAGGGCCTCTGACTTACAGCACTTCCATGGGGCAGGCCTTGACAAACTTGAGGCTTTCAGGCCCTTCCAGCCTAAGTGCCAGGCCGCTGCTCTGCAGCAAGGCAGCGCTGCTCCCATTCCTTGTGACGAAAGAATAAAAATCAATGCCAGATGGGAAGTGCGGTGAGCAGGTAAGCAGCTTGTGTACCACTGCGCTCCAGGGCCCCAACGAAGCGCTTTGCTTCGACATGCGCCAGCTGCTCTTGCCTCATTGCAACGGTACAAGCTCGGGCAAGATAGACTACTGGCTGTTGTTAAATGCTCACGCAATGCAGACATGACGGAACTCCCTAGCCTTTGCTGTTTCACGTCAGAGCGATGCTATACGATCCCCTTAGACGTGTCAAAACTGATGGCCCAGGCTCTTCAGCAGACAAGGCCTCAGACAAGAGAGCAAGCTGATCGTAGAACCAGAATCGTCAAAAGTTTACCCCCTGCAGATCCACTAACAACAAAAACACCTCGGCGTGCCACCGCATGTGCTGGTTGGGCGTGCGGTTTCTCTACAGGGTCTGCAGCAGAGCTCTCAGGCACCTTTGCGGGCTAATGCGGGCTAATTTGCGTCTGTCGGTCACCCAAATTGCTCTTTGCTTTGCATGCCGCCTCATCGAGAATGTACGATGCATGAGAGGCCCGAGGAACGACCTCAGGCAGATGCGCAGTGTATCTTCACGAATCGTTGTGGCGCATCCACTGTGACACTGTGGCTGTGATGTTGCACTCCGAGACACTGCCCCAAAAAGCAGCCACTGACCTGCCTGGTCAACACACTGGGGGCAAAGCGCCTGTTTTCAGCTCTGCTGCCTCAACAGAGCCACCGTATCTGTCACAGTGAGTGGTGAACAGCGCGGCTTGCACTTTCTTCCCATGTCTCTCCAGGTCTAGCTGGGGGGCAGGCCATGCTTTTCAAGCGGTCAATTTCAGCATCCTTCTGTGCAAGCCGCTGCTTCAGCTCCTGAAGGCGTTCTCGATCTGGAAAACGAGCAACACATCTCGCGGGAGCATGTTGAACATGGCGCACAGACGCATCTCACAACGATCATTCTTTTGACGGGGGTTGCTTCAAGCAAGTCCTGCGCCTCCTCACCACCCAGCTCCTGCCTGTGGAAAAGATGCAGAGCAAAAGCATAATGTAGTCAAAGCAAGTTTGCCATTTAGCTGCAGAGGGTCTCTAGTGCAGAATGACATGGGCAGCGGCGTATATGCCAGGTCTTGGGATATGAATTCTAGGTGACTTCCGTTGCACTCTTGGAACTGTTGGTTCCCCGATTGATCCACGGATAGTATGGGAGAGCCGACTCAAGTTCCCCACCGTTTTCGTGTCAGCAGGCTCGTGCAACGCTCGCCTTGGCTTCAGAGGCAAGTCCTATGCAAGGGGACATCTCCTTTTCAGTTGAATGCTGGCACTGCTCAACGTGGCCAAACCTTCCTGGAAAATACTGCTTGCAAGTGAGCGACGCAGCTTCAAGTTTTCTGTCTTCAACCGCTCGATATCCACCTGAACCAAACAGCACTGAAAGAGCAAAGGCTCACACTTGCTCACTGTGCTATTTGAGCAGATTAAATGTCACACAGCTGAGATCGTAGACATCACGAAACACACGCTCAAGCACCAGCCACCTGCACCTTCTGAGCTTTTTGTACCTGGCTTTGCTTCTGGCTGTGAGGTCTTGATCTTGCTCTCAAAAGGCAATGCAAGCCACCTCCTGCAGTGAGCTTTCCAGGATCTTTTCCAACTTGGAAATCACCTATCTCACGAAAAGACGCAAGGGGAGGGCAAGTGCAACGCTGCCCTGAACATTGTGCGCCTTCTCTTGCGTCTTAGCCGTCTGTCTGTACGTGTCTAACTTCCTGGCACAGCAGCTCTGGAACTGCACATGTAAATTGCGGCCAGTGCTAAGCAAGCTCTCTATGAAACAAGGCTCATGTGCTATGATCCAAGAACCGTCTTCCAGGCCTGCCCTCTTCTTGGAGACGCTGCAGTTCTCGGTTTTGCTCAAGGTGTACCTGCTGAAGCCTGACATTCACAAAGTTTCACAAAGTGCAAGTCGCCAAGCGCGCAGGGCGCAAAGCCCGCAAGCAAGGCACGACCTGACACTGAGCGCCGAGCTCTTCAAGAGAGCGCTCCAGACCACGCGATCGATTGACCTGCTGATTCGGTGCCCCAATGAATGGTGCTTTGCCTCGAACGTCCGGGCTGGTCCGCGTGCCAGCCTTTCAATAAACTCTGATAAGCTGAAGTTTGTGGGAACAACCCTCAGGTGTCGGCGGTCTGCACTTTTGTTGAAGGGTGGGGGTGTTTCTTGGCGTGTTGCCTTGTTGCTCTATATATATATATATGGTTCCGGTCGGCGAGCGGCCACCCCCCCCAATGGTATCCCCCCCCACTTCGGGGGGGGGGGGTGGCCGCTCGCCGACCAGGGTACGACTCTCGAAGCCTTGGCCCTAACCGGAACCCCCCAGCGGGCCCACAGGGGCGGGGGAGAGGCCTTTTGCAAGATGACCATAACCTGCAAAACCAGCGGGCCCACAGGAGGAGCGCCGACAGGGGTACGACTCTCGAAGCCTTGGCCCTAACCGGAACCCACCAGCGGGCCCACAGGGGGGGCGGGGGAGAGGCCTTTGCAAGATGACCAGAACCTGCAAAACCAGCGGGCCCACAGGGGGATGACCACAACCTGCAAACCCAGCGGGCCCACAGGGGGAGGAGGGGGTGGGGCCCTATTTAAGGCTACCATGACCATGGCGGGGGAGGGGGGGGGTGCCAGACCTCTACCATATATATATATATAGAAACAGGATCTACTCACGAGCAATGCAGAATGTACATTGGTTGGTCATTTCCCACTCAAGCCTGGTGTTGTTAACTTGCTTGCACCGAACGGTTCTGCCCTGTCAAAAGAAAGAGAGAGCGCTCACCTGCTTGCTCTTGACTATTGATTCAATAACCAGGATAGATCCGATGGAAGAGACCCTAACTCCGGGTTTGTTGGGCGCCGATTCGGACCCTCAAGCGACTCGGGGAGGGGGGGTATTGACATGCATGGTGACTGGAACAGGATGCATGCTCCCGGGTGTGGGCCGACGAAACTCAATGTGTTTGACAATTGAAATTCAATCGTAGTAGCAAGCAGGCTTGGAGTGGACGGTGATGCATTGCCCGATCAAGCATCAACATCGCCTCGAGTAGCGAAGTTTAGCACTGAAGCAAGCTGCCCGCCGCGAAGCTCACTGCAGAACTCAAACTGCGGCAAGAGGATTGGCACTTCGCCCGACACGACCATGCCACTTTCTGAGCAAGATTCATTGACTGTCAGTTGAAAGCTCGTTGCTGCAGACGGCTGGATCGGTTGGCAGTGTTCCCAAGGCTGCCTTTGTGGACCAGAGCGGCTACAAGCGCACCCTAACAGAGCGGCGGAAGCGACAGGAAGGTTCTAAGGCTCTTGTTGTCAGAGGCCTTCACAAAGCGTTCTCCTGCCTGACGGCTTGGTGCCCACTAATGGTACTAATGATAACCCAGCCGAGGCGGCACTTGATCTTTAGGGAGAGTGAAAGAGAATCTGACTGGGCACAAGTCAGCTTACCATCACAGAAGCAGAAATCGAGACTCCTGTCGTCGCAAGCAGAAATATTGTGCGACCGGCCTAAGCTGCACTATCTAGCACCATACACAGTTTGACAACCCTTGTTCGATCACAGAACATGTACGTTTTCTAGGCAAAGCATTTTTCCGTAAGGGAAGGGCGAGTGGCAAAAAGAGAGGCTGCCCGACATTTGGTGCATCGTCACATTGCACAGGCTTGCATGTTGCGGCTTCGCATGCCTAATTGCAATTCTGCAAGCTTTGCTGGCCTCCTTCAGCACGTCTTCCATTCGGCGTCCCAGTTCGGCAGCTTTTGCCTCGATTTGCAAATGCGAAAGTTGGATTTGCGAGATCGAGTTGAACACGCGTCGACGGCCTTCTCTTCTCGGTACTTTTCCACAGTCCTCTGCAGCTTCATGGCCAGCTCCTTCAATGCAAAAAGCCTAAACGACGTAGCACACCTACCACTGAGATCGGGACTGCTGAGCTGAGCTTCTCAAGGCCTGACTGGAAAAGTGCGCCTGCTGCACTCTGGGTTCTGTTGCGCCTTCTGGCGGAGGGCGATGTTGCACATCCTCGGCCTGACTTGTAAGTAACGAGATGCACTGCAAAAAATGTCCCTGCTTCTTACTAAGATGGGGGCCAGTTTCTCCTGCACAGAAACCAACAACTCAGTTCTGATGACTAAGTCCAATGACATGTTCCTTGCTCAAACACTTGTATGCACACAGTGGACTAAACACAAGCACGACTGTGGCAAGCCATCGGGTGGGGCCGCGTCACTGTCCTCTTCTTCAATTTGTGTCCGCAGAGATTTGTTCTCGTTCTTCAAAAGCTGAACCTGCCTTGGGTCATCGCACGGCATCTCTAGAGCCAGATCCAGCACTCCGTCTGTGCAATAAATGACAAATATCAGCCTACTACCAGCTACCCCTTCCTAGACATTGCCTTGCTGTGCTGATTGGATGAGAATTGGGCATAGGCAGAGGTTGCATGCTGTCTGCCAACCGTAAGACTTCTCGGCCTCCTGAGCCCAACGATTTCTTCCCCAGCTCGCTTCAATGCCGCTGCTCGCAAATTAAACCTCAAAAAGGATTCAGTGGCAGCGACTTTGCACATGCCCACTCATGCAACTGGCAATCTCAGGGGTGGGCTCTTTTGAGAGCTGCACGGATAGTTCATGGTGAAGCCTGCATGCATGAAACATGCCAGGCCACGACGGTTTCTGCGGCCTGAAGTCTTTGGCCTCCTGCTCTAAGGCGGCCTGATCAGCTTTGAGAACCTGTGAAACTTGTCTTAAAATGTATCTGGCTCATAAGAACTGAAACAGTATGCTTTGAAGCCGTGCGGGCGCAGAACCACGCTCCACTGGAGGCCTGACCATGACAGAAATGCCAGATGCAGGCAACTCGTTGCGAAAGACTCAAACCGTCCGCTTGAAATGAGCACGGTGCCTTGGCGAGGAGGACACAGCTGAAGTGGAGCCACGGGGCCATACCTGCATGCAGATTGGGGGTCGACAGGGGAAAGAATGCTTGTTACTGCCGCCAAGCAGTCGGTTTGTGTGTGTGTGTGTGTGCGTGTCTGTGTCCAGAAGGGCCACTTGGGCCATGAATTATCATGACACAATATTCAAGTGCGAGATTGATGTGCGACTTCAGCAGTGCAGGTGCAGTGGCACACGAACTTCGACTTCCAAAGAGGTGGACGCGCCAGGTGCCTTGTGCAGATCTGAAACCATGAACATCAAATCACTGTAGCGATTCGCGTCGCTGGCCTGCCTCAGTCAAGGACCTTTCATCTACGCTACTGCGCCGAGGAAAGCAGTAAAGACTTTAGCATGGGCATGGACGCCTCCAGAAGTCGAAGATCTGGTATAAGTGACCGAGATGTTGCCTGCGACCTTGTACGCGCAGCTCCAGAAATGCAAAGTCGTCTGACTAGCTTCCCCGTACTCTTACTTCAAGCAGGACACATAGGACACTCAGGAGCTGAGGCTGCTGCCCTATCAAGGAACTGGCGTCAACGGATGCAAACCCGAGCAGCGCCCCGCTGAGAGGCGTGTCTGGGTCCTCCGGACAGAGGGAAATAAGCGCTGGCGCAGACGCACGCACACATATATATATATATATACGCTCCCCCCCTTGAAATACTCAGGTTTTTTCCCAGAAATCAAGTTTTTGGCCAGGCTGGAGGAGGGACTCTGAACTGAGCTGACAGGACGTGCGACTCCATACAAAATCAAGCCAAGCAGAAGTTACGCTCAACGTGCAAAAGGAGCTCCTAGTTAAATAGCTCGAACGCGAAGTGCACTTAAAGTCACGTTGGAGTCTGCGAAGTGCGCTTTGGCAGCCCCAGCTCAAAGCACAACTTTCAGCACAAGAGTAGCACGAGAAGCACGCTTTGGCAGCTTCATCGTGCCTGTAACATCTATGCTTTCTTTATTTTTGCTTGACAAGGAAACTCGGCAAATCATCCGCTTGGGGGAAAGGGGCAATCATACTTGCAACTGACATCCAAATCAAACATAAAAGTGCTTCATGTCCTTGCGCAGTTGCATTTACATGTCAGTTTGTTTTTTGAACAGAATTCCATATGCATTCTAACTAAGTGTATTTAAATCAAACTTGCAAGCCAGCTATCTCAGTTGCGTGTTACTCGTCTAATACGATTCAACCATTGTCAAGAACAACTATGAAAATTCAAGTATGGGAACAATATGCAAGTTAACACGTTTTGGAGTTCAAGCCAAGTTCAACTTTAACCGGTTGCAGTTTCTTGTGCGTTTCAAAAGTCAAATGAAGAACGCTGCTATTGTCATGGCCAAAAATAATGGAATCAAGATCAAGTTCATAATGGTTATTGTCCTTATCTAACTCCACGTGGGTGTAACCAAGCAAGAACTGAGCCAAACCAATAACAGAAACGTGTTTTCAAACATAGATTTCACTCTTGGCAGAACAGGCTGTAAAACGCGATGTTTATTTACTCAGATCATGTTGCCATGGATCGAAGGCCAACTATTCAAGATTCCACAAACACCCTTTAGAACATCCTCAATCTTGGCTCCCAAAAAGCTCGACAGCTTTTTCTAGTCTCTTTAAGGTTTTCCCACCTGCATTGAAGATTGAAGATCTCCAAATTCTGCTCTTTTGAGCATCGTCCATCCTGGCCAGCCCTCAAGTCCCACAAAAGCTGTAAAGAGTTCAAAACACATGTTTCCCCCCTGGCAACATGCCTTTCTAGATTCCATACTTGGGCAATCCAGGATCTGCTGGCACATCCTGGATTGAAGACTGAGAAAGGCAGGTTCTCCGACAACTCTTTTTGGGATTGTTCGAGTATGTACTTAGGGCAATCCAGGATGTGCTAGAACATCCTCGATTGACGATTGAAGATTCTCAGACCACTTTCCTGGAAATCTTCAAATCCATACTTAGGTTAGGTTCACGAATTGAAGAATCTCAGCAAGAGTTGTCAGATAATCTTCAATCCAGGATATGCTAGCACGTGCTAGCACGTCCTGCATTACACTAAGTACGAATGCTACAATTTAGGTGCAAAAAAGTGTGCATTGTTTGAGAATATGTTTAGACGCTGGACAGTGCATTTCGCATGCATTTTCACGGCAACCATGTCATTTGTTGAGCGAACCTGAGACATTCCAGGGGAGGTACCATATATATATATATATTATTTTGTTTGCACATATTATATGTGTGCTATGCATATCAGTGCATGACTGCTGAAACCATGCCAATTTGGAAGATACAAGCAGGATTCCAACAACCTTGGTCAATTTCTACTGGACTGTCCAGTATAAGCATGTTCTCTCAATGCTTGCTACCCGCCAAACGAAACAATCATCCTTTAGTCGTGCCTGTCTGCTTCCCACAAGAAGCCCTGCCAGCAACTCATGTCTTTTCTCTGAGCATTATGGATAGCGCGAGACAAGAACAACAACTAATTGAAAAAGCGAATGCTGTTCACTCCACGCTGGAGCCAATGTGTGGTTCGGGGCATACTCCTGCAGGGTATAAAAGATAGTTGTAAAACAAAAAGCCGTTTTTACATCAATTTAAGGCTTGTTACAATCGAGAACATCGTGGGCAGCCCAGGTAAGGTCAAAGTTGTGTTTACCCTACACTCTAGAATTCATGCAGACTGAATGGCTGTTGAGCTTTCACTGATTCCAGTGATCCCAACCCCGTCCGTGCGTACCCCAGCACACTCGAAGAAAAGGAGCGCAAGATTCCGCAAGGAGGAAGTTGTGGCAAGGCAGCGTACCACGAACTGCCTGAAAGCACCCAAAGCACAAATCATCCCGCCAAAATGGATGCAAAGTGACAGGAAATGCAAGGGAAATGCAAGGGAAATGCAAGGAAATGCAAGGAAATGCAAGGAAATGCAAGGAAATGCAAGGAAATGCAAGGAAATGCAAGGAAATGCAAGCAAATGCAAGGAAATGCAAGGAAACAGGCACGGGATGACCCCCATTGCGGAGTCCGGGAAGAGCCTCACCGAGTTGCCCTCTTATTTCTCAGTTTTGCCCGTGCACACGTCGCTGAGAAAGGGGCTCGCCAGTGGTGTGAGGAAGCACTTCAGCCCACTTGCAGCTACAAAGTGCGCCTCCAGAAAATTGGACAGGTCCTGAATCAATCGCAAGGAATGCTTCCCTCCTTCTCAAAACACCCTCAAATCGCACACATGCACACTTTAGCTTTCCCAAAGGCACCACTCGCTGGTCATAGTAGTAAGTGGCCACTGGTATGCACAGGTCCCTGGTGTCGGCGCCAATTGCTGCCCTCAGCTATTGGAGAGGAACAGCTTGGTTCTTGATGCCAAAACTCAGAACCCTGCTCAGGACAAATAGCCACCAGCGCACCCTCCACCACATCAGGAAGGGGGCGGCCAACTGGCACACCATGCACCTGCAGTGGCTCGAGTCAGTCAGCCACGGCTGCAATCAAGTCTTTCCTTGCTACATTCTCCGACTTGGCCCCAAACTCTGACTTCCAGACCATGGGACATTCCATCTCCAAGACCATCCAAGGCCTGAGAATCAGAGTCACACAGCAAGGCATTCCATTGGAAGGTCCATTGCTCTGCACGGAACGCGGTGCTTTCTGTATTCAAAACGAAACCTGCGCCTCGTGACCAGGCTCTTTTGTGAGGCTTACCTCAGCCATGGCAAAACACTGCGCATGACATGACTATCCACAACTGAGGGCCCCAGTTCAACCCGAAAAGCCTCAGCGTCTAGCAAGGAGTCGAGGGCGCGGTCGGCTGGCTGAGGTTGAAGTGTTTGAGGCCCTTGCGGGACGAGCTCTGACTCACACTTGTTGCGTTACACCACTGGCCATGGCCCACCTTGCATAAAGGTGAACTGGCACAAGCACTGGCAACGTGGTTGGCGACCTCAAGGGTCGCAGGCAACAGCGACTCTGTATCTACAACATCTGCCAGGCAGCACGACTGAAATTGTGATTCTTAAACTATATAATTGAGGTGATGCTCAGCTTTTGGCCATTGCAGGTTGAGCCTCAGTATTGTTGGCCAATCCAAGTGCAACACAAACTACTGCAAGGCTCTTCACTATCTCTCCAAGCGCCTGGCAAGGAATCAGTTGAAACACCGTCCGAGGTGGAGGATACCTCTCAAGAGAAAGCTGTGTCTTGCAAGCAAGATTTGACGGTGCCTGCAAGGAATTGCTAGCAACTGGAACGCTGTCATAACACGAAGCTTTGCTCAATGGCGTACTGCACTACTAGCAGTCTAAGAAGTTAGACACTTTTGTACCTTCCCCCCCATGATATGCACATCAGTGGGACACCATCTCGAGTGACAGGCTCACCTGCAACCTGGCTGCAACAAGGCACAACCGGCTGAAGACTTTGTTGCAACTCGGCAAGTATCATCTATGAAAGAAGACTCGGTGTAAATGACTTGCATAAGGTCTTTTAGTAGCCTGGGTCTCATATCATTTTTGTGTGGGTATGGAGGTGCGCCAGAGTCACAATTGTTCGAACATAGTATGCTAAGTGCTCTCCCAAAGCAACTGGTGTGTGATGTACACGACGCAGCTGCTGCTCAAAAGTCACCAATTCTCAATGCTCGAATGGCAATCCTTGTTAGTGCCCCTATTGTTTTTGCTTGTCGCGCGATGTTGTGCGTATGGCTTCAGTAATGCAACACCACATATAAACCACAACTTCGGTAACATTTTTCGACACTTGATCGTGTAATCCGCTGCCCCTTCTGCTGTTAATGGTCTGTTTGAGGCAAATCGTGACAGGGACACCCACTCGATTGCAGAGACGCTGCTGACAAAGGGATCACAATTTCCTGGTTGAAGCAGACCTCGGCTTTGACAATTCATGATGAGCTGCAAAGCAGGTTGCTCGTGAGGGAGCTGATCCTAGGTCTTGCTTGTCTCTTTGTTGTCAGGATCAATGAATAACTTGTGCATCTTTGCCTGCCTCTCCCGCGGTAGTGGTCACTGGCGTGATGCTCAGGCTTCTGGAGGCCTCTGGCAGGGATCTTAAATCCGATTGGGCACACACCCTTTTGAGATTCCAGCCATTTCATGCATAACATGCCCACCTGACTGGAGGAGCCTGCCGCGTCAAGCTACACATGCCAAGCCTCGACACATTTCGAAGCCATGGGGGGATTGTACAGTACGAGGATTTCTCAACGAAGCAGACCTGTGGGCAAGAAAGCCGGCAGCCTCACTGCCACTCGCATGGAAGCGTGCGAACTCCCTTCAAGCACCTGAGCTCATGCTTCAAAGGCTGCAAGGTACACGTAGCCCGACAAGAAGCAACGCTCATACCCGCGGGTTGCGCATGGAACGCAACTTGCAGCTACTCTGGAACTCAGGCGGGCAAAGCATCCGCTCGGTGCACTAGAACTCGAAGACGGCTTTCGAACGGCCTTCGCAGTTCTACGATTTGCACACAGGGAGCTAGGTCCATCAGATTGAAGAATGCAGATACCTTCAAGGCACCCCTGGTTCTCATCATCATCACAAGGTGCAGCGCCTCGCTTGCCATAGGGACTTGTCCAAGGATGGTGCCAATGCGGATGCGACCGTATGTGGCTTGGCAAGCCTCAGAGGGAAAGGCTCCGCTTGTCCAGGCGAGCGCGATATATGTGCGTGCACACATGTATTTATGTATAAATATATATGTATATATATATATATATGTCATATTAATGTTTAATGTGTACTAGAGCGAAGCTGGCTCCGTTGCCCGGCGGCGTTGGCGCTCAGTCCACAGGCTTGTCTACGACAGCTACGGCTACCTCGCGGTGCGTTTCGCATTCGGGATGGGGCTTGGAAACGCGAGCCGGTTTGTAGCACAACTTTTGCATGCACGACCCCAGTTCCGAGAGCTAAGGGCAGCAAGCACATGAGCGTGCAAAAGGCAAATACAAAACAAGATCAAATGCATTTGAAAGGCGCCTGAACAGCTTCACTTCCCTCCCCATATGGAACGGCAAACGCTTGCTTGAATTTTGCTTTGCTCGCCTGTATAGCAAGTCGGCATCCACTCTCGCTTTTGCGACAGCAAACGTAGAAGCTGCCAAGCAGAGAAAACGGGTCACCCATTGGCTGAGATGCGAGACTCCAAACAAAACTGTTTTTCCAATGTAGATGTCGCGTTGCTCCACAAAACTGGTTGCAGCTTGCGCAAAGTCCAAAACTCAAGTAACTTGAGGATTGAAGGTTGCAGGTGGCATCAAACTTCAGCGCAAGCGTCTTGTGCTCTTACTCAGATACACGTAGACTGCGCTGCCTGCGTCGCAAACACCTAAGACAGGGGTCCCAGGCTCGAATCCCCCTGCCGGATCCTTGCTGATTCGGGGTTTTCTGCTTCTTTTGCTGAAACTCTGGAAAAAAACTCTGTGTTTTTTCACATCATTTTTGCGAAAACGTTGGAAAACCGTGTTTTTTTTCGGAAAAAAATACCAGGGAGCGAAGGGAAAATGCAAGGAAGTGAAGGGAAATGAGGGGAGGAAATAAAGGAAAATGCAAGGACATGCAGGGGACAGGAAGTCGACATGACAGGAAAGCAAGGGGAAATGAAAAGGCAACACAGGGCAACTGAAAGGGACATGAAGGGGAAAGAACTGAAAGCGAGGGGAGTGAGGGGGGGACTGAAAGGCAAACAAAGGACAAGGAAACCAAAGCACACGAATGAAAGAAAGGGACACACATAAAATGAAGCGGACACACCGAGAAAATGACAGGGGCACGACGGGGGAATTGAAAGGAACGGACGGGGACATGACGAGGACATCCTGGGAAATGACGAGACATGAAAAGGACATGAAGGGGAAATCAAGCCAAAAAGCCAGCAGCACGGAGACAATTCAGGGGTCATGAAGGGACATGACGCTGCAATGCAAACACACAGAGAGAGAGAGAAAGAGAGACAGAGAGAGAGAGGCGGGGAAGCCGAGACACGAGGTGGGGAGAATGAGGCATAGCGAGGTAGAGAAAGATAGAGATATAGAGAGGAGAGAGAGGGAGAGAGAGAGGGAGAGAGAGAGAGAGAGAAAGAGAGAGAAAGAGAGAAAGAGAGAGAGACAGAGACAGAGAGGCATAGAGAGAGTGAGACAGAAAGAGAAAGAGAAAAGAGAGAGGAAGAGAGAGAGAGAGAAAGAGAGAAAGAGAGAGAGAGAGAGAGAGACAGAGAGAGAGACAGAGAGAGAGAGAGGGAGGAGAGAGGGAGGAGAGAGAGAGAGAGAGATGTTAAACTACAGTGGGTGCATGACACAGTTGCCTGTGCACTACACTGGTAGTTGGTACATACTGCAGGCCTTGAGCCTTACTACAGCTGGAGAAGAAACAAGGACTGCGGCAGACTACACTTGTTTGTGATAGAACAAACCAGCATTTGCCCTTGTATTTTAACGTGGTAGCGGAGCTCCAGTAGTAACGACTACAGTAGCACCCCAGTATGCCCAACTACTACGACATGACAGCAGGAGATCAACAGGCAGCATCAGCAGGCATGCCACCAGCACAAACTACAGGAACAATAGGTGCAAAAACAGCAGCAGCACAGGCAGGAAGCGATGCGCAGAGACTACACAAGTACAAACTGCCACCACCTTACTTCAATGGTGACTACTCCAACTACGATGAATGGAGATTCAAGCTACAAGCCCACTTGAGACTCATCAACAACGAGTTCGACCAAATACTACGAGCAGCAAATGTAGCTACAGGCACAGTGGTAGACCAACACCTGATCAATGAGGTACTGCCTGACACTGCAAGAGGCAACAAGCTCGTCAACCTTGCACGTGATTTACACTACATTCTCATCAGCATCTGCCAAGGCCTAGCGGCTACAGTGGTCAGACAAAACCGCTACACAGCCAATGGTTGCGAAACCCTACCAGTTGGTACAAGAAGTGTTGGCTACTTGACTAAACTACTGGAACCTTCATTCAGTGAACAACAGTTGGAAGAGCGAAAGGAGCACTACAACAACATCTTCAACTACGAGCTGGAACAATGACTACCTACACGGCAGTGCGTGATGTGGTGATAGTACTACAAGACCATCTCGGCATTTTTCAAGATGAATGCAACCACATCATCAGCCGTTGGCGGCAACTACGGAGGCGGACCAGCAGCAATGGACGTTGACAACCTGTAAAAGAAAGGAAACTACAAGGGACGAGACAAAGGAGGCTGCAAAGGACATCGAGGAAAAGGGAAAGGCAACTACAAAGGAAAAGGCAAAGGAACACCACAACGGCCCTTCAAGGAGAGATGGGGCAACACAGGAAAAGGAAACTACGGCCATAACTACAGTAAAGACAACAAAGGCAAAGGACACAAAGGTTCATACTATCAAGGAGGCAAAAGCAAAAGCAAAGGAAAAGGTAAAGGAAACTACAACAACAGCCAAGGAAAAGGAACATGCTACAAATGCGGCAGGTACGGCCACTACGCTTCAGAATGCAGAATGGCAATGTGGCAACTACACCAAGGAGAGCCTCAAGAAGACTACGACCACGAGATGGAAGAGATCTACTCACAAGATTGTGAAGACTACGCAAGTACAGGTTATGCAGACAACACAGGAGACAGTTGGCAAGAGCCAGAATGAGACTACACTCAAGCAGAACAAGATTGGTGGAACTACCACGACCAATTTGGTACATCAGACGACTACGACACCCACGACATTAGTGGAATCAACGAAAGGCTGGTCATCGGACACTACGAAGACAAGAACCAGGAGCAACAGTGCACATGGAAGCAATCACTACAACGGGCACTACAAGTACCTGATGCAAGGCAACAACAAACAACAACATCAAAAACAACTTCACTTCCTACTACTAGACTCTGGAGCATCCAGACAAACCACTTCGGCCCTGCACTACCACTCCGCAACTCTGCACGGTCACAAACAGGCAAATCCCAGTCTACGGAATCAAGCACGTGCCCTACCAGAAGGACAACTTCAAGATCATGATTCCCTACTACGTTTGTGACGTGAAGTACCCGATCCTTAGCTACTCACTTTCACACGGCGACAACACAGCACCACTACTTCGACAGAGAGGACTCTTCTACTTGGCCATCAAGCGGATGTACATTCCCAAAGATCACGAACTACAACCACTAATGGACCACGACGGAGTCATGAGAGCTGTGGACAACCGCTTGCCACAACACAACGCTATAGCACCACTGACTTGCACTGACCAAGGACTTCGAAGGATCCTTGGAGGAAACACGGACTACTGGCAACTCGATGGCGACTACGCGATAAGCGCTCTTCACACCAAAGAGTCCGGATGCCCAATATCTACAGAACAACTAGACGATCTGGAGACAAACTACAGTTGTCAGAACTGCAAGGAACCGGAGATACTACAAGACTTCATGAAGCAGATTTCCAAAACCGAACTTCACAAACGACTACCCGGTGACGACTGGGTTGGTGAAACTAGGTTTCGGAGAAAAATGTATCCTACACAAAGGACCACAGGCAAAACTACAATCGCACGACAAAGCCCTTGCGCACAACCTGAAAAACAACCAACAACCACAACCAGAACGACAAGGATAACACTGGACCAGACACCACTTGGTACCACGCAGTACAATGTTCATTCCAACAGATGGTCCAGGACACCCACCAATTGACTCGCTTGAACCTTACAGAACTACAATCACCACAACAACTTCAACGAAGCCAAACAACACAAGGACGACTGGACCACAGCTGGTAACACTCACCCACCTTACACATGGACCGGTACAACACGGTTCACTGTGAAGAAAGGATACCACCACATGGATGACAACATCCTTGCAGATGATGAACCACACGTAATGAAATCACACATCTTCCCTACAGAGATTGGTGTCCAACCTGTGTACAGGGAAGGGGCGACAAGACAACTACAAAACACAACGAACACGACAACCAGTCATTCAGGTCGACTTCGCCTGCGCCAAGACCAATCAGGAGCCGTGACCTACAGCAGTACTGACAGCAGTTGACGTAACTACACAACTGTGCACGGCATGTCTCGTTCCGGACAAGTCCTCAATGATGGACTACATGATCAACAACCTACAAGCATTCAGTCTGGAATGCAGTCGCACACATGGAAAACAACAAAGTGACAACAAGGACACATTCAACACACTACTAAAAGCCACAGCAGCAAAACTAGGATCCATGACAGTACGACACTCACCGGCCTACAGCAGTAACAGCCAAGGAAGTGTAGAACGACTACACCGAGCACTACTTGGCCAAATACGCACCTTCAAGGCACAAGTCGAACGCAACTACGGGATCACACTCAACGTGAAACATCCCTTACTACCATGGATTATATGACACGCTGCGTGGACTATCAACCGCTACGTAGTACACTCCGACGGCTACACCAGCTTCGAACGATGCGGGGGACGCAACTACGAACGAGCAATCGTAGAATTCGGAGAAACACTACCTGCACATGCCACCACAGCACAAGAGTCTACCTAAAGCCGAACTACGCATGCAGAACTGCATCTGGTTAGGTAAGATTTCCGAAACAAGTGAAAACTACGTGGCTACAG